TGATCCTAAACATTATTGTACTACCATGTGAAATTAAGGATATTTTAGGATAGTTTGTACAATCTATTAAGTCTCCTTTTTTTGATATTGGAATGCAGATTGACCTCTTTCAATCTCTTGGCCACTGTGTTGTTCTCCAGATATTTGATAGATGAAATTCAAATTAAAGTAGCAACATTTGACTATTTTTCATCTATAAGCTGAGTTTGACACCAATACTTTTATAATATTTGAATTATTTAAAATACGGGCATTGGTAAGATTTTTAATATAGCCAAAACAGTCCCTGGACACACCTTTAGGATTTGGCATTCTTTTTCTCCTTGTTAGCACAAAATACATAAATTAAAAAAACACTGATCTATGTGGCTCAACAGCATATATACATTGTTAATTAAGAATAAATTATTGATGATTTTCTAAAATAATGTCTTAGTGCACTTTTATCAACCTGGTGTCCTTCAAATGTGGTGTGGCTATAGCTCCCAGAATCTTTGGCTGTGGTAGTGAAAATTTTAGAAGTTGTATTCCTAACACAACATGGAGGGCACTAGGCAACAGAAGACAATCCAAGTGACAGTTCTGTACAGACCTGAATGTATGCTTATGACGCTGGTATCTCCCTTCTGCAAGACACACAGTTTGCTTTATATAAGCGTCAAGATGCACATTTATCCAAAGTGATGTGGTAAAGTTTTGTTGGTCTGATAAGAGATTAGGAGTTGCATATTACTTATATTAAAAAGAAGATCATGTGAAAATGAGCCCATCCAATAAAAGATCCTGAGAGGAAACTCTTCAAACTAATTCATAGTGCAAATGTATGTGATACATGGTACCCGTGTGTTTCTGCTTTATTGATTATTGGAGCAATTACTAAACAACCTAATTTTAAGCATTAATTCTGAATTCTGACTTTTAAAGTTTTTGATTTTGTTAAGGGTGAATAAGATTGGATAAGTAGAAGGATGATATTATTGGTGGGGAATGGACTCACCATTTAGGAACAGACTGAAATGTTAGGCTTCAGCTGGCACTGAGATGAACAGAACTTAAGTTAGCCATAGATAACTTATTCCAGTTCATTTAAAGTAAGGTCTTAGTCTGGACCAAACCCAACATTTTTATGACAATTGTCTGACGACAGACTGCCTTCTGCTTTTACTCTTAAAAATAAATAATGTAATAAATCATCCCATTTGATTATTATTAATCTCAGCATAAATTATATGTAAATCTCTTGCACATGATGGGAGCTGGACTAAGTATGAAACTAATATTACGGATGTTAAGCTTTACGTTCTTGGGACCTAATATGTTTTCTAAAGTACAATGTGACAATTAATTAAAAGTATGTTTTGCTGTACAGCCCAGCAATACCTTTCATTACCAGAATTAAAAAAATCTAAGGTACAGAGAAAAAAGTAGGGCTTGACAGTTAACATTCAGAAGCCCCCACCCTTGGAGGTGTTTGTGCTCATAACAACTCATTGCTTTGCCTCCTGCTCAGGATTTCCAGGAGTTTAAAATAAAAATAGTTTCATGGCTTGAAAAAGTTTGAAAATGCATACTCTAATCTGCACATACAGGCTTTTCCATGGCAAGCCCATGCTCAAAATATATATTTCAGGATCAAAGTCAGGTCAGATGTGTGAAACATTCCTCTAGCTCTTTTTAATCATGAAACGTTTTATATACTTCACACATTAAAAAGCCATAAATGAGCTGTTTGCTGCTTTCTTCAAAGCTGTGCACCTATGCTGAGATCACTATATTAGTTTCTAATAGGCTTCCAGCCTGAATTTAAGTTGCAGTTTTGATCTTTAAAACTCTTTGTGGCTTGGCACCCGTGCGCTTGCAGGATCATCTTTCCCAAACAGAATTTGCCTACCCTGTGTACTCATCTGCAAAGGGGTTGCTCCAGAACTCCATCTCACATGTGGTAAAAGAGATGGAAGCCTGGAGTTGCACCTTCTGAGTGGCAGTCCCCACATTGAGGAATTCTGTCCCCTGAGCTAAGAATGCTCTGACTTCACATGTTGCCAAGCAGTGAAACCCATCTTGTTCCAATAGTCTTTTGATGCAGACAGTGGACCTGGCCTGCATCTGTAATTTTTTTCAGTACTGTGTTATGATGTTATCAGTTATGATGGCTTTAATTTTTCTATGATTTAAATCACCCTGAGCTGGTAGAATATACTGCAACTAATAACTGGCCAGCAGGAATCAACATATTCCTGGGCCATCATCTAATGAAACTACCACTCTAGATTCTAGTGACTATGAAATAGAAGTAGGAGGATATATATGGTGAGGTTACAAGGGTAAGATTCTGAAAGTACATGATGCATCAAAGGGGTCATCCATGGGGAGGTGTCAAATCAAGATGGCAACCATGGTCACACAATTTAAACCCCACCTTTTTATATGTGCTGTGCATGTAACACACATTAAAAATCGGCTTTGATTGCACGGTAATGGCTATCATCTTGATTTTTTTATCTTCTCCCCTTCTCACTGGTACCCTTTGCAGCATTCTTGTCAAAATGAGGAGAAAAAAAATGTCTAGGTTTGGTCAGTGCCTGGATGGGAGACTGCCTGTTAATTTATGTACATTACTTTGGTTTCCAATCAATGCTGGAGGAGTGTATAATAATAAAAGTAATCAATAAATAAAATAGCAAATAAAGCCACAAAGGGGAACACTAAAGTATAATGTTCAATAGGCCTGTTCCAAATTCTACAGCTAGTGCAACTAACTAAAGTCAGAACAGTAAAATGCAATGTTTAGTGTAAGTGAGCTGGTATGAATATGGGAACGTTTTAATGCTCCAGTTCCAACTTCTGCCATTTAGAAATTACTTCCCTTTGTAAGAATCCTATGCTTGCTACATGTTATTAAGAGAGCATAGGGGAGAAACTCATATAACTATTGACCTTTGCTGGTTTCCAAAAAGAGGAAGTGCGTGTCACATTCACTGTACCCAACTCCAGTCTTTTCACCACCAAATTCAGTTAGTTATATACCAAGGCTAAGTTAAAAACAAACAAACAAAAAGATACAGGGAACTTCGGGTTCACAATTCATGGATATGGGTCAGGAGGGAAAAAGATGCCCTCAAAATTCCCAGCTCATCTTTTTTTGCTGCAGTTTGTTTCCATGGAGATTCTTCCCAGTATCTGGCATTTCCACCTGTCCATCCACTCTACTGCAAGACGTTTCATCAGAATGACAAAAAAATGAAACTCCAAGAGGGCTTCTCAAGAAAAAAAATGGACTGCCAAGTGAAGGCAGAAACATGTTACTACCATTAAATTCAGCTATCTTTCATTCTCCCAATCCTGACCCTCTGATAATAGGACAAATGGCAGGGGACCATGGGACAATAATTACTTCAGTGCTATTTTTTCCTCTGCATCACCCTCTTCAATAAAAAAATGGCATCTTTCAAAGATAAAAAATATATTATTTTAATAAATCTCCAATGGGCCCTTATTTGCTTGGTCAATTTGAATGGACGAAACTGTCTTGCCCATACATGTGTGTTCCAAGACTAAGCCTTGGGGCTGAAAAAGAGCTTAGGATTCAACAGCAATAAAAGTATAATTCCCCAAATTGTGTCTGTAAGTGTACAAAATTTGTACACCATATCTTTTATTACCAACAATTTCACTGCTGCAAAAACATAATCCACATTAGGATATATTTGTATTTTAGAGGATAGCCCCAGATAATAAAGCTGCATAGTCCAATAACCCAAATAGGAAAAAAGCTCTGATTAGATAGAAACATTTCTATCTAATTTTTTTACAACCATTGGAAAACAGGACTTGTCATACAATAATATGACTTTGTCCAATCAGCACGTGAACTAATACCTAACATATCATCATTCCTCACTAATTCAGCTTTGAATCTTAACATATTGCATTTACAAAATATGCTTAGATTATGCCAGATCATCTTCTATTTCATGTAGCAGTTCATTGTAAGCATCTGTGATAGTTTGTAGCTGTATATCTTTATGTTTTGTGGTTATGGATGCTTTTGGTATCTGCGCATTTATTCACAAAATTACCATGAATTCTCAATTTATGGGGAAATTAAGGAGATATTTCAGTTCGTTATATTGCTTTAAAAAATGTATCATAGTTGGCATTTTACTACAGTCCTCCAAAACAAAGTAAAAGTAGCATTTGATGGCGTTTTCTTTGATGTGTTTAAGAAGCAAAATATATAATTCAGATTATATTCCAACAGCTCAAGGATATTCAATAAAAGCATCAGTATAGTAATAGTCTCTGGGCTTTCTGAGGTGCATCCTATCAAGCACAAACATGCCCTACATCTTTCTTCTGCCATGTTTCCATGACTTTATCTTCATAGTCCATGAATCAGACAAGCTTAAGTGGTCCAGAGCTCTACCTGTGTCATAGCAGTTTCTACATTATTCTGACACCCTCCCAGGGCAATCTAAAGTTATATAAAATCTGTTAATTTTTGTCACCCATTACCTTGGAGAGAAGTAAAGTGATGGGCCCTGGCTAGGAACAGGGGCAATAGAAGCAGGATAGGGATCAGCAATGGGGACTGTGAATTTAATGCTTATATAGTTTTCTGCCATCTCAAGAAAAAGTGGATAGCGCCTTAACCCAGTATTGGGGAAAGGCCTATAGCAGTACTCAAAGGCTTAAATTAATTGTCAATATCCCATTCTAGATGTATTTATGAATGTGTGGGTCTTATCCCCAAAATATATAATCTAGAACAGTTCTGTGCAAGCCCTTTTGAAATGAATCAAAACTATGTAAGATCAAGTCATCTAATGTGCTGCTTCATCTCAGTGGGGCTTGTACACAAATACTTTCTCCTGCTTTCTAAAGATTTTACGTGGTTTATATATTATTTTCACACCCATCAAATACTTAAAATGATCAAACTATATACATATAACAGATGATTTCAGTTATTATCTTGTAAATATTTATTTTTTCTTCAGACTGGGTCTGAGACATCCTTTCAAGGACAAGTGGAAGGACAGCCTGGGAGCAATGAAAGAGTTGATGAGCCAGCTCGTCATGTTTTCTCTTTCTCCTGGTTGAACTCATTGAATGAATGATGACTCCTAGTCCAGATGGCTTCTGGTGGAACTCACTAGCAGGAAATGACAACAAGTAACACATTGAAAATAATAGCGGATCAGATTTTATTTAAAGACTTTATTTTGAAAATTGTCACATTGGATCTGACTTTCTGTACAATTTGAGAGGGGATGGTGGGGAAGAAAGAGTAGGAGATAATACCTTCTCATGAACCATCTGAACCATTTTTGAACTCATGGCAAATAACAAATGATAAAATTACTTGTCCAGTTTGCTTCTGGGCACTGCAATTTAGGGACAAGGCTCTACAGTATTTTTAATAGCTGATCTATGTTATGCCCAAATTGTTACATGAATATGGCAAATGACCCTAATTATGTTCAAGCAAAATTAAAATCAGAAGGGAAGAATGCATTAAAAAGAAAAATATTATTACAAGTAAACTGTTAAAGGTTCACTATGCATATTTGTAAATGTCTTGGGCATTTCCTTAGTTTTATGTATGTACTCTGTCATTTCTTCACTAAAGACATTGTTATTAATAAATTTCTCATTACTTTGGAAGTTTCTTCACTTGACTGGTTTTTTTTTAGTTGACTTCAATAACCCTGAAATTAAAATATGTATTAAAATATTCATAGACTGCCTAGTTTGCTCATAGGAGATTACTGTATATATACTGTAGCCAATATTAATAAACCTTACAATAGTTTTAACAAGATCTAAACAGGCAAATATTGAAGCATAACAGAAAAAAGAATAATTAAAATTGATGAAAAGCATAATGGAACAGAAATGTTTTCATCTGCTACTTCAAAGTGAACATGGACGCAGCCCGTCTAATGTTCTTCAGCAAAGAATTCAACACTCAGGATGCCACCACAGAAAAAGCCCTATGGCACAAATTCTCTTAAAGGTGGGATATATAACTGGACCTTTACAGAACACTAAACATGATGGGGAGAAGTGACATTTATTAGCAAAATCACAGAAATTAACGTAATAATCTTAGGCACTCATTTTCCTGATGGCATTTGGACTCAAACGCAGTCTAGTTTTTTATCAGAAGAACCCTATACACTGTTAGAAAGCTGGTTTTGAAATGCTGAAGAGTTTTCAAAGTAATTTTTGCATATAGTATAAAGAACAACAATGATTCAAACCAAATATGCTCAAAATCTTTGTGACGATGATATATAATAGAGTATCCTGAATTGTGACCTAATTGCTATAATTCTGTTATTTCTGAAACATAGAATTTATGTTACCAGTCAGTTGGATTCTCATTTTTTTACATTAGTACTGTAACAATGAATTAAAATGTCCTATATTGAGAATCTGTATCCCTCTAAATGTTGGACTCCAACTCTCATCCTTCCTAGCTTGCTTAAACAATGATCATGGATTGTGAGAGCTGTGTCTAAAATTGGTTACGGTGTAGTAAGTACCCACATGTACGCCACACCAACGGTCCCTTAGGTTTTTAAAATGTATCTTTTTCAGAGCTTCCATGGCTTTCCAGTGCAGCATCATGGAACCTCTTTAGTGAGCAGTTGCCTAGATACTTTTCACGTTCAGCTGTCTGTGTGTGACCTATTGGCCCATCAAAAAGTTATGAATTAGGGAAAAAAATAAATATTTGTTTTGAATTTTCCTTTCCCTTTTAATAAAAAGAACAACTTTGTGCTGACAATTCTGCATAGTTCTAATCTTATACATTTATTCGTTCATGCCACCTGTCAATCTAAATTTTGAATTTCATTAAAAAATAGTCACATTGATACTAATAATCAGAAAGAATGCTTTTTTCTTTTTCTTTTTTTTTTTTTGAGAACTTCCAAATTTATGGAGTAGGGAAAGAGTTCTGTAATGTACAAGGAAAAGAACATGTCAGCTCTTCCTGTGTCTTCTGCCAAATAATTAGTCTATCTGTTTTACAGTGTGGACACAGAGTCTACAAGTAATTTAGATTAATTTAGAGTTAGATGTATAGAGGACAGACACAGAAGAAAGTACGGGCATCCAGGAAGAATTAGTGAAGAATACATGCTATGCGTGCAAAAGTTCTCAGGTTCAACCATAGCCTCCTTATATAGAACTGGGGCAGATTCCTATTTGAAACTTTGGACCAGCACTGCTAAATAACATAGAGTGGAAAATAAGAACATTGTTCAGGACCCCAAGGGAAACTTGCTAAATGCCTCCTCTATCATGCAAGGCACTCACCCACCCAAATTGCACCCATTTACAGTGGGCTGGAAAAAGGAAAGAGGAGGGTCACGCATCTTCTTCACTGCCACTATGTAATGGTATGTGGGAATGACCTTGGGAGACAGGAAGAAGAGCTGTAGCCTAGACACTGGTCTGATAAATGAAATCTGAGTCTGAAGAAGGGGTGGGGGTGGAGAAAGCATCTCAGAAGAGACCCTCCCTAGTTTTCAGGAGAGTAAAAGAAAGGGAGGGGAGAGGTACTTTCCAACTTTTCAGATGCTGTTACTCTAACCTTACAATAAAGGTAGTGTTAGTATTCATGGTTGGTGCTTCTTGTCTGGACTACCTCAAAGGGCTAACACCAATCTTGCAAGTCTGAAAGTACTTCTCCCCTCCCTTACCTTTATGCTTCCCAAAACTAGGGAGACTCCCTTCTGAGACACTTTCTTCACCTACCCATCCTCCTTCAGACTCAGATTTCGTTTATCAGACCATTGTCTTGACTGCAGCTCTTCCTCCTATTTCCCAAGGTCATTCCCACATACCATTACACACTGCTATAGTAGATCTAAGGCCTACAAGGATCTCTCCTCCACTCCTCAGCCTCCTAAAGTGTCCCTTCCCTGTCCCACATGACCTCTTGCAATCATGCCCCTCTCCACACATGTCCAAACAGACATACTCAGCCAGCTGAAAGCTTTTCTTTCAAGCATACAATATCTGAGCTACAAAAATCTAAATGACTACTATGCGCTCTTGTTGGGGTCCTGAAGGTGAGCTGCTAGGTCTGGGCTGTAAAATATTAGGTATGTCAACAAAGAGAATCAGAAAACTAACATTACTACCATATAGTGATCATCCAGATTTTTGCAGCCCAGATATGGAAGCCTACCTATGTCATTAGGGTTGTTAAAGACATGGGGCAAGGAGTTGGTGGCAAGCTGGGCCCCCGTAGACCTCCAGTGCCTGCAGACCCCAAGGAAAGTGCCTCTTCTATTTTCTCTATATTTGCACCACTGAGTATTGACTGTCATTCCAAAGGCTATGCTGGTTGGAAATATCAATATGAGAGGGCACCAGGTTGGCAGGGTATTATTATTATTATTATTATTATTATTATTATTATTATTTTAA